TTCATGTGCATCACTGAGCTCACGCTATGCGGGTCCTGGCCCAACTTTAACTGTAGCGCTGATCCATTTCCACTATGTGGCCTGGCATCATCCTCCAGGCCCGTACTCATCTGCATCACCGATCGATTTGCACGACCTGGCCTGACATCATCTATAGTCCTAACTTGAGAGGAGGGAGACACGAAAGGTAGGACAGCGGGAAGAGCAGAGAACGGGAGAGGAAGGAAGAAAAAGGCAAGAGTCGACATGGTGATGCATGAGAGCTCTGAGGACCGCGTGGGCTTTTTCATGCCAGCAGGTTGCCATCATCAACGCGGTGAAACTCGACCAGTACTGGCGCCACCGAGCGCAACAGCTCGATGGATGACTCAGTCAACTCCGCCTGTGCGAGTCGGTGAACGAACGCCCCCAGCCAAGGCACCTAGGAAGGAAGGAAGCAATGAATAAAGAAAGTACGAGCAGTGGTTCCAAGGCAGCTCCCTCTGGAGAAAAGAACGTACTAGCGTCTTGTTACCAGAAGGAAGTCCAACCTAATAGCGATGGTTTCCACCTAAGAGCCTCTTGTTTCCCAGTAATGGGGATGTGAGGTATTGACCTATATTAGTGGGTCCCTAAAAGATCCACGTAGCCAGGTGGCAGGTGAATCACCTTGAACTTAGAGGGGTCCGCATTCACGTTGAAGGGTTTGCTCTTCGAGTGTGGCATTTAAAGAGAGAAGCTCGAATGCCAAATCTCTGCCTGCCTCCAAAGCGGTTTGCGTCTGGGCCTGCCAGTGAGGAGGCAGCAAAGCGAGTCCGACTCAGTGTGAAGACATATCCATGAAGCTCCACACGTTGATCATCACCTGATAATCACCTCTTGAAATGTTTTGTGTGTTCCCCGTGTGTCAGTGCACACCCCTATGCACTTTGGATCTCCGGATCAGGGCGGATCAGGGCCTACGATTGAAACTCCGTCCGGGACTGCTGGCTCAGTTTGCGGAGGAGACGATTCAGTCTACTCGACGACGGTGTGTATATATTTGAAAAGGATGAGGCCAAAGCAAAGCATCACCAAAGGGCTACCTCATATTTGACTACATGGAGTGGGATGGAGTGGCATAAGAGAAGCCCCTCTTGGTATCACAAAGGAGTTCAAACCATTTGGCTGTTGAGGGGCTGCGAAGTCTCTATTATTCGCAACAAGTTAGCAGGATGCAACGCCCCAAGAAACCAACGAAGAGAGTAAAATGGAAAACCCAGTGGAACCATCCCCATGCTGCTTTCGCACCCCGCTGGAGTGTCCTGCGTGTGCAGTATTCTCCTTCAAGCGCAGATCCTGTTGCTCCGGGCGCATGAGCGCACGCATGGCCGCGCCGGAGGAAACCTTGAAGTTAAGGAGGCATAATGAAGGTCTCTCTTTCACATCATGCATTTTGCTTCCCTTGAATCGTGGTCAACGAACGCCCCCGGCTGTCGGTCAACGGGCCGGTCGGTCAACGGTCGGAAACGGCGTGGACGGCCGGTCGTTATGGGGGCGTCCGTTTCGGCCACGCGTGAAAAAACCATGCTGGATGTCCATCAATACCCACTAGCAGAATGGGTGTTATTCGTTTAATGGAACAAAGCCCTGCCCTGCAGCCCTGCCGTGCGCAGAAACCCGCGTTTCCTTGGCGCTGTCTTCCTCACGTGGTGGCCTTCTCCAAATGCTGCAGCATGGGGGTCAACTCCTGCGAGTTCGGTCAATGTCGACTGAAAAAGGAGGTTAGAAGCTAAATGTGCATGCTTGGTTATCTGCATGGAGCCGGGGCGAAAACATTGAATCGATGGGAGGCAGTTGCGCAGTCAGGGTTGCGCGGAGGAATGCGTGAAAAAGATAGGAGTACAAGAACAGCAATGCATGGACTAGCAGTAGTAGAACCTGGTATGGTCAAGGGGCCCGCTTGACTGAGAAAATTGAAAGAAACATATGGCATGTATCGCAAGAGCGCAAGCAAGGAGGGCCCAAGCCGCCTGCGGCAAAGCTGCGAGCGTCGCCCAGAAAGTGCTCGTCACATCACCTGGAGGCACGACGTTGCGTGTCTCCGTACAGAAACTCTATGATGCTGTGCGCAGGTCAAGTAGTGACGGCCGACGCGAAAGCCGTGCCGTATGATAGACCATTTTAAGGCTTTGAAGACGTGGCTGTCTGTAAGCAACCCACCTGTTCCAGGAGGTAGTGTGAGCCGCTCGCAAAGTAGAAATCTTGGTCCTAGGCGACAGCGTAAGGTTGGCCGCGCCGTCACCGAACAGAATACTTTGGAACCTCGTGGACGTGTCGAGTCCTTTCCTTTGCTGAGTGTCATGCGTTCTCAGCACATTCACGTTGCCATCGCAGCACTAGGTCAACGGTGAGCATCTGTAGCGGAAGAGGCGCCTAAGAAGCAGAAGAACAATATAGACAAGGAAAGGAATCAAACGTTCGCCGCACAGTCACAGTACAGAAACGAGGGTAAAAATGGCCTCTTCGTGTGTTGTAGCCTCTGTCTGCGTGCGGCGAGTAAGTGAGTCAGTGTGGAAGTATCAAGCATCCAGAAAACTCTTCAGCACTTGACAACCTAGGAAGAAACGTGTAGGCCGAGAGCGAAATCAAGCGCGACAGGAGTGCTGCCACGGGGGGCAAGAACCTCACCATGCGAGTGTGCATAAGCAACAAGGTCATTCTGTCAGATGTGTTTTGGATCGCATGTAAAAAGTCCAGTATCTGAGGAAAGCACTGACGCGAGAGTTCGTCCCTAGATGTGGGAGGCACCTCTTAAGAAGTAAGACTTTTCGCTGGTGGAAAAAACTGCATACAGAAGACAAAAAGCAAACACGCGGCCGCAAAAAGATCCATCGGCAGAAACAAGTTAAACCACCGAACTTGCGGCTCTGGATTGTGAAGGGTGTTTGTGGCCATCGGGATTCCGAAGGGTGCTTGTGGCCAGAGGAAGCCTCATAGCCTCGATTTGGAAGCCAAAAATTCAAAGCACTGAACTCGGGTTTCTGGACTGTGAAAGGTGTTTGTGGCCATGGGGATTGGGAAGGGTGTTCGTGGTCATAGGGATCCTGACGACCATCGCGCCAGCTCGGCAATGGAGCCGAAGGTGCTTCAGGATCAGAGGCGTTGCACCAATAGGAAGGATTGTACACGCAAACAAGCTAAAGCGCGAATCCGTAATCCTAGTCTCAAAACGGGGGTTCTGGGCGCTAGTCCGTAATCCGCCCCACACCGGACAATCCGAGAGTTTGTAATCCGTAACCCCCCGGGAGGATTCAGGATTATGTTGATGAGGCCAGCATAAAGGACTCCGTCTTATGGGAGCACATGTTTTAGTTGGATTGTGAAGCTGTATTGCTGTCTCTGTGGGTGTGGAGCTTGAAGAGCTTGAACGTGTAGCGGTTTCAACATTGAAGTCGCTCAGACTTACTCAGAAGGGGCTGGGGCTCAGAGGGGGTAGGGTGAATGGTCGTCAAGCTTGAGCGGAACTTGGCAAACTATCGTCGCTTGCGGGGTAGAGTTTGTGTGGCAGAGCAACAGGAGTAGTAGTAGCAGTAGTGTGTGACAAGGACAGGAGCGCGAAGACAGAGAGAACGGCGACACAGGCAAAAGGAGAAGCAAGGCAACGAAAGCGACAGCAAAGGATGTAGACGTCTGAGGTCGGGACGTGACTGGCGTGAGCGGGCCTGACAGGATCGGAGCGAAAGCATGCGCGGACATGAAACGTCGGCAACAGGAGCAGATTGTAAGGCTCAGGCAAAGGTGTGGTCGCGGTGGAGCGGAGAGCAGCTAAGAGCAGAGCGGTATCTGGCAGTGAGGAGCGGTGCAAGAGATAAGGCTAGGGGTATAGTGGTGTTGGGGGCTTGCAAGGAGGAGCGAGGCGCAAGCGCACAGCAGACGATGTAACGGAAAAGGATGGAGACGCGTCGTGTGGTGGGTGGCCGAACGGTCCGGGAGCGACAGGCACAACAGGAGGAAGCGGATAGAAGACGTTGATGTAAAAGATATGCAGAAAAGGAAAGAAAAAAGGCTCGATCTGAGGCCTGGACGGAGTAGTGCAGTAGTCGAGAGTAGACCTGGGACGGAGCGGTTGGCCAGGGCGGAAGGGAAAGAAGGTAAGTCTGAGAGCCGGACGTACGTGTTGCAGGGAGGGCAAAGGCACTGTAGAGGTGGCAGTGTATAGGTCTGCCTGGCGTGGGGAATGTGAGAGAAGCAGCAAGCGCAAACAACTCAGGTGGGAAAGAATCTAAGGAGACAGCAAGACCAGAGGAATGCGAGGTACCTCGAGAAGATAGCGACGGGCGAAGGGAAGAAAAAGGAAGGCATGCTGAGGAGGCAGAGGGTCAGCACGAAGGGAGGTGAGTGAAGACGAAGCGGTCCTGGGAAGCAAAATCGAAGAGATGAGCGGAAGCATGGACAAAAAGAAAAAAGCGAGATAGCGAAAGCGCGAGAGGTCATTTTGGAAGCTGAGATGGCACGATGTCGAGGCATCACTCCAGGATGACGTTCGGTGGGAACACGAAGTCGTCGGGCAATTTATCGCCGACAACCTGCATGGGAGCGCAGGTGCCGTCCAACACCTCGTGCAGGATCGCGACCAAAGCAGGACAGTCAAGGAGTGGAGTCCAACGCACATAAGGTCCTTGACCTTTCTCACACAAGTTATCATCTTTGTCCAAGTAGCCGCCGCCTGAAGAGCGGAGAGGTTAAAGAAAAAGACATAGAAACAAAAAGCTGAGGCCCTGGCCGATGGGGTGATCACAGCTGTCGAAGGCCGCACGGAGTGGGTAGTTGTACCCGTGGAACTCCAAGCAAGCCTGGGAGCCCTGCACCTTGAGCTTCAAACGCAAGGGGCGATGAGGGGGAGGTAAGCTCAGGGGTGACATAGTCGTGTCGCCCTCCGTGGTGAGCGTGAAACCGGGGAGCAACGTGGAGGCAAAGTGGTCCTTGAAGTCGTAGGTGGTCTTGTTCAGGATGTGGACCTAAGGGCAAGGTAGAAATGGAAAGTGAGAGAAAGGACGGGAACAGAAGCAGAAGCGAAGCGCCTTGGTGACCGTAGTAGCCAGGGTGGGCGCCTCAAGCCGGCGCAAGAAGTAATTCTCCAGGAGGGAGAGGCCTTGCAAAGCGCCCGGGAGGGCGCCACCACAGTAAAGCCCTTTCTGGAAAGTTGGGCCGGAAGCAACGCGGGGCAAGATCTGGAAGTTGGCCAGAAGGGACGTGTCCGTCAAGCTCTCCTGCTTCAAGAAGTCGGCCCAAGCCTGAGGAAAAGGCGGGGAGAAAGGGGCGAGGGGAGTGTTCGAAGTTGCGGACGAGGAACGGTGCGGTGGGTATACTCAAATGCTCGTGGATCGGCTTGCCAGAGGATCTGCGTGACGTGGTCACGTAAGTGCTCATGGACGAGTTCACCGTTGTTCGAGTACGGGTGGAGCACAACCGTGAGCTCCAGGTCGGACATAGCCTTGGACCGTTGGACATCATGCAGCTTCAAGGCCTTCGCGGCTGGGGCCGCTGGAAGCGGCGTCATCTGACGCTTCTTCGGTGAGGCCTGCGCGGGAGCGGAGAAGAACTATATATACACGTGTGTGGAAAAAACAAGGTGACAGCGAAAAGGCTCATGCGCAGCCGAACCTGGGGCGACGTGGGGAGGCGTGCCTGGCAACGAACGAGAGCCGGAAGTTGCGAGGCATGTGTGGAGAAGCATGAAGGTAGAAAACCAACAAAGGCACCATGCAGGCCTCGGTTGGCTGTGCGGGCGCCTATACAGCAGAAAAAGATGGAGACGATAGGTAATAGGAAGTGCAACGGAAAAACGCAAAGACACGAAGGAGCAGTAGAGCCTGCGGCGAGGGCAGGGCTGTGGGCGCAGACGCCTGAGCAAAGAGGGCGAGGGAGGATGTGAGGGGAAGAACGCATAGTTCGAAAGCCTTCGGAGCAGAAGCTGCAGAGTTGGGCGGCGGAGGGGGCGCGGCAGCAGACGCCTGGCAGCGGTTCGTGGGAGGCATATGAAAGGGACCAGGAGAGCGGCGCGAAGGAAAAGAAAGGCCGAGCGTGGATGCCTGCTTCGGAGCAGCGCGGCCTGCAGGAGCAGCAAGAGATGCCTGAGATGGAAAGGAGGGCGAAAGAGGAAGAAAAAAGGAGTGCCACGAAGAATTCGCGGCGGAGAAGAAGATAAAAATGCGCACCAAGGAGCACGGGTCTGCCGCGCAGAGTTGCTCATGGCGAAGCAGATCGGGCGAAGCAGATAGGAGCAAGGGAACGAGAGGCGGGAGCTTGAGCTAAAAACAGAAGAAAGATGGTCACAGTAAGATTGGTCATAGAAGCGGTAGCGCAGAGATCAGCGCGCGCAAGTCCTTGTAGAAGTCCACGTCGGAAGAAAATCGCAGGGGAGCCGCAGCGAACCTGCAAGGGAGGGTGTGGCAGGAGATGCGAGCAAAGGGAGAAAAGAAATCGAAAGTAATGCAACCAAGCGGCAGAGCAGGCACGTGGAAGCAGAACGCAAGGCCACATGCGACAGAGGCGATTAGGACAGAAGCGAGGAGCCGGCAGGCAGGAGGCTAGTAAGGCATCCGACGGCGCCGGGAGCGAGCGGAGGGAAGGCTGTGTGGAGCGGTCGGCTGGGTGGAGGTGGAAGCAGAAGAGAGAGAAAGGGCGCGGAGGCAGAGGCAGCGACGGGGGTCAGACGGCGGCGGGCATTGCGGAGAAGCGTTGGAAGAAGGTGCAGAAGCAAGCGGCTGGGAAGCAACAGGAGAGGGAGGGGGGCGCTTCTGGGAGGACAAAGGCGCAGGAGGAGACGCATGTGTGCCAGCGGTTGAGAAAGAGGAAGTGGCGGCAGTTGGCGTCCGTGGTGCCAAAGGCCGCGGTTCGCGGCGGCGAGGTGAGCAGACTGGCGAAGCGGAGGAGGGCAGCAGATCTGGAGCGGTGGTGGGAGCGGGAAGCGCAAGGAGAGGATGAGTGACGAGAGTCCGCAAGTCTGGACGGGCAGCGGCAGCCAAGCGAGAGTCGATGTCGAGTAGAGTACTGCGTTCCAGACGTTCAAGGCGGGTGAGCTCGGCTTGAAGCCACGCGGGCGGGCCACCGTGACACTGCGCACGAGAAGGAAGACGAAAAAGGAGAAGGTCATCCAGGTGAGGAACGCGAGACAAAAGAACGTATAGATGCATCCAAAAGTCATCGCGGGTCATGCCTGGAGGTTTTGCAAGGTCAAGCAAGATAGATGGCAGGGTGGAGCCTTGCAGGGAGTAGGCGGTGAAGGCGATGGCATTGGTGAGAGGGAATTGGGTGCGGTGCACGGTGGCCGGGCAAAAGTCCGTCTCGGCGGCGGTAGGGCGGAAAGTCCAGGAACGCGTCTGCGGGGACAAGAGAAAGCGGCCGGGGCCGAGAGCCGGGTCTTTGATCCAGGTAGCGCCCGGAACTGCGAGAAGAAAGGCTAAAGGCATAGTGGAAAAAACAAAGGGCGGCAACGTTGGATCGGGAGCAGGGCGGAGAGCACCGGGTGGCAGCAGCACGTCGAGGAAACGTACTCGACATCCGCGGGTGATCCCAAGGTCGGGGCACAGGACCGCTTCCAAGATCAACTCGCAGGAAGGCCAGAGAAAGAGGTAGCCAGGCAGGTTTCTCGTTGTGTTGAGGTTGTGGACCGCTAGACAGCGACGAAGGAAGGCAGGATCTGCGGGAGGCCCGCGGTCTGTGCGGGTAAGGCGGTCTGCGGCAGGCACGACAAGGAGGCGGTGACCAGAAGCAGCTGCCAGAGGTTGGCTGCGTTCGAGTGTCAG